CCAGATGGGAACTGAGGCTAGGGAGAAAGGCGCCCAACGGGGCAGCTCAGGGGTCTGGGCAGAAGAGAGGCACTCAGGGAAAGCCTGGAGGCTGCAGCCGCCGCTCATTTGCATCATAAGTGATTGGTTTTCCCTGCTCGTCCCTCATTAGGACACAATGGACAGTTGTGTGCTGGTGCAGCAGATCCATTTACCAAGGCAGAGAGGACACAGAGCAAGAGTGACTGACGGGCCAGAGGGGGTGGGGGTCGGGGTGGCCGCCTCCCCTCCCCTGCACCCTCCAGCCCCTGGGACTCACCTTCTCACACACTGAGCAGGGCTCTTAGAGAGTTAAGCCAGCTCCCTCATTTTACAGATGGGGAGACTGAGGCAGGAAGAGGGAAGGAGGCTTCTGAGGTCAAGTTCACGACAGAACTGGGGTTTCGAAATCTACCCCCTAGATTCTAGCCTTTTGTTTGGGGACTCCCTCCACTTGCCTGCAGTACCTTCTGCATCCCCACCGTGGTCCCTTCCCTTCTATTCCAGGCCTGGGCTGCCATCAGTCTTCTCTCTGTTCCTGCCCGTCTTCAGATCTTTACTTCCCGATTTCCAGGCAGCCAGGATAATTACTAAACTTCTGATTAACCCCTGCCCTAACAAGGGTGGGGCTGGCAGGAGAGGCAGCAATTTTTAAACGGTCTTGGTGTGTTTGGGGGATAGGTGGGGGGGGGGGGGGAAGAACTTATATGTGTTGGACCTATTATAAGCAGGCACTAGGACAGACATTTGACATAGTTTATCTAATTTCATCTTTTTTTTTTTTTTAAAGATTTTAAGAGAAAGAGCATGAATTGGGGGGGAGGGGCAGAGGAACAAGCAGACTCCCCGCTGAGCAGGGAGCGCAATGGCAGGGGCTGCATCCCAAGACCCCGGGATCATGACCTGAGCCAAAGGCAGACGTTTAACCTACTGAGCTGCCAGGCGCCCCTCTGCTCATTTCATCTTTTCAGTCTTGCAAGGTAGGTGTTCTTGGAGACCAGAAGAGTAGGAGAGGCTCAGAGAGGTTGGAAAACACGGAGGGAAACACCCAGCTGGCAGTTGTAGCTATCCAACTCAGAAATCCCTGTTCTTCCACCATACACCCTGGCATGGGGGCTAAAGCGGGGTACGGGGCCCACCGATTCTGGGCTCCTGGGAGGCACAACTGAAGGAGCCCCCTGCTTTGTCACTCCCCCTAAGCTGCACTTGCCTTTCCTCACAACCCTCTCTACCTTCTGGCTCCCATCTTCTTCTGGGCCTCTTCTGCCTGGTGGTGAAATCTCACAAATGCAAACTTAGGCCCATGGGGGTTCAGGGAGATGGCCAATCCAGAGGGAGAACCTGAACAAATCTAGCTCCAGACCCTGGAGGTCTCGCTCCTGCGGCCACCGGTTCCCTGTCTGCCCCTCCCCTTTGTGGGTCAAACTCGCCAGCCTCTGCGTCTGTCTCATTGTGCTCTGGGGGGAAGGGGAAAGTTGGGGGGGGGGGTGAGTGGGTGTCTGTGTGTATGAACATAAGGCCTCTGGGTTCATTCTGACACTGAATGAAAAACTCACCAATTATTCGTCCAATCTCATTAATATGCAGACAGACATCTGTTATTTAGGAGTCAACAGCACAGGCATTTTCATGGGGGGAGGGGCACTCACGCACATGCCCCTTGTTCCTTGGGCTGCTGGGGGTGGGCAGCTGCTGGGGAGCCTCCCCTCTCTCTGAACCTCACCCCCACCCACAAGGAGAGGGTGTAGAGGGTTTACTAGAGATGGAGACAGACCTGGGAACTCCGCTGGAAGGGGGAAGTTGGGAGAGGGGCTGCGCTGTGTAGAAGGAACTCTTTTGTTGGTAGAGAGGGAAAGGGTGGGGTGGAGGGGTGGGGTGGGGGGGTATCCCATAGAGGAGCCGAAGAACCCCTTTCTTGGGGAAGCAAGTGTGGAGGAGGTGGAGACAGCGGTACCAGGATTGTCTGCCAGGGTCCTGGTGCCCACTGGGAACCTTGGGGACATGAGTCCTTTCCCCTCACTTCCCTCAGCCTGCAGGACCAGTCTGAGTGTACCTGGGGTGAGGTCACCATGGCAACATAGGGTTCTCACCCAGAGACTAAAGAAAAGTTTATGGGGCGCGGTGGGGGGGCTTAGAAAAATGGGGAGCAAAGGACCTCAGCCTTTGGAGGAGTCATTAAAGCTCCCTCTGGCCCTCAGGATAGATGTGGGAACAACACACAGAGACCTCCCCCTTCCTGTCTTTTGGCCTGCTTCCAGCCTTTGAATCCTGAGCACCAGTAGTCCCCTCCAAGAGGCCTTTCCTGGTTCCCTGGGGCAGGCTCAGAAGCAGTCTGGCCTGGAAGTCAAAGCTGTAAGGAATAAAGGTTGACACCAGCTCAGCCACCTATCGAGGGTCACAGCTCCTCTACATCCCTTCTCTGAATCTTCCTCAACAACATAATGCAGTGTATGTGGTGATCAGCTCTTTTCCAGGTGTGAAAGCTGAGGTGCAGATGGTGTAGAACCTCACTGAAGGCTCCCCAGGGAGGAAATGGCAGAGCTGGGAACCCCAGGCCCTCGGCTTCCAAATCTCCATTTCTTTCTGGAGAGGGTCCCTTTGGGAAAGCCTGGAGTCCCCAGGGGATGACCAAGTCCCCTACCACCCCTACCCTCGCCCCTTCCTTCTCCCTCCTCCCTCCAGGGCAGGCTGATTGTGGGGTTAAGAAACTCTGGCAGCATCACAGCGTGATTAGTTGTTTATTTCATTAAATGATTAACGAGGCTACATTGTTTCCTAAACGGGTGTCTAATTTGTGGGGGAAACAGCTGCAGAGGAGGAAGCTGGGTCTGACTCCTGCATCTGGGGTGGGGGTGGGGGTGGGGGTGAAGTCCTCTCCCTCCAGCCTGCAGGGGCCTCTGAGGATCTAGAAACAGCCCCATTCCCTCCTCCCACTCATCAAGCAAGCACTAGGCCCAGCAGCACAGCCCCCTCCCCAGAAATCAAATGTCTGGCAACCCAGACCTGCAGAGGAGACCACAATCTCTTCCTGGTGGTATTAGAAATGTATTAAACTTTGGGGGTTCCCCTCACTGATTTATTTTCCTAATTATGTTTGCTTTAGGCGGATATTGAAATGCATCTGCATTCCCTGAGTGAGGCAGGAAGAGGGCAGTTGGGAGAAGAGAGGGGCACAAATGCTCTGCACTTTGGAGGCTATAGGCTTGGGTCTGCTTTGTATCAAAGTCCAAAGTGAAGAAAAAAAGCCTTGGCCCCAAATCCTGGGTTGATAGTGTGGCAGGTCCCTGGGAAGGGGTGTGTGTGTGTTGGCAGTGGTGAGGGGTCAGTCCTCTGGGACCAGACTGAGAGCCACCTAGCTGGGCCCCAACCCTCTCCAGCACCCTTCATCCAGGACTTGGGGTCCTGGGAGAGGGTCTTAGAGTCAGCTTCTAACCTCAGTTTGGGTGCCCAGTACCCTCAAAGTGGTCCCAGAACCCTTGGGGAGATTAGCTGAGATGGACCAGGACAGGGTGCTGTAGCAGAGGGAGGGAAAGGGGGGGTTCTGATAAGCCAGCAAGCAGTGGGTTGGGATTTCCTTTCCTCTCAAGATGGGGCGGTAGCATAGGGAAAGAGGAGCTGTGTTAAATGACACATCTCCAAGCCAAATCCCCCAGCCCTCATCACCTCATCAGATACCTCATCTATCCCAAACCTGGTCACTTCATTCTCTGTTTGAAATCCCTGGTGCCTCCTCACATCCTCAAGATGAAGTCCTGGTTCCTTCTTGGGCCTTGCAGTGGCCCTGATATACCTTTCCAGCCATGTCTTCTGCCCTCCTTGCCATGGCCGCCCCCACCATGGCACACTCTTTCTCATGCCACGTGTTTGCACATGCTATACCCTCTGCCCAGAATGCCTTTCCTACCCCTCCCCTGCCTGGTAAACAAACTCCTCTTCAACCCTTAGGACCCGGCTCAGAGGATGGTCACCTGAGGCTCTGAGGAGCTCCCACAAGCAAAGCCCTGCCATACCTAGGGTACCTCTCTTCCCTGTTGGGCTGGCCTCCAGAGCACAGAGACTGGTCCTTTCAGAACCACAAGCTGGTGTCTGGCACACAGTTCATTGCTCAGTACATATCTGCTGAATGAATGAGGGAAGGATGGGCTGCGAATTCGGGGGGAACCCAGCAGATGGGAGGATGAGGTTTGTGTTCTCGCCCAGAGTGTGTCAGGGAGAACTGGCTGGGACTGGGGGAGGGGATGGCCAGGGATGGTTCCTGGGGGAGAATGTCACCGAAAAGAGGCCAATGGGACCAGAGCCAGGGAGGGAATACAGGACAATGTGAAACCAGACTCCCAAGAAAACAGACCAGCACTGTATTTCCTGACAACAAGAGCTCTGGCCAGCCCCTCCACCGGCTTTCCTCCTCTCCAGGGTTGGGGTAGGGGGACTGTGACCTTAACTCACAGCTGATGTTCCCTCCAAAATCATCAAGGAGCTCAAGCTGGAAATGAGAACCCCTACCCTCACCTCCAAGGAAACCCCAGAATCAAACTACTGTCCCCTTGGGTAACTTCACTGCCCTGAAGAGTCAGCTTCTGTGACAAGGAGGATTTTGATACTTTCCTTACCCCCATGGCTCCTGGGGGGGGATTCCAAGCTTAGGGTGGAGATGGTGTACCAGGGGCCTAGACCACTTCAGCAGGACCCCTCCCACACTAGCAGGAGGCCTCAGCTGGGCTGAGGCCTGGATTGCATGTTAGACCACTTTAAAACCCCCTAATCGCTTTGGGATTGTCTGGCTCATTGAGATAGATATTCCCCCAATCTCTCACTCCCCCACCTCTGGTTCCCAAAAGGACACTGCTAATCTGACCATGGCCTTTTTTCTCTATGGGCAGAGACAAGAAAAGTTCTTCCTGAAGCCTAACTTTTCCCTCCTGCTACTAGAAAGTGGTAGAGTGGGTTTTTAGAAAGCAACAAAACTAAAGCCACAGCCGATCTCCATGGACATGGGCTTTATTTGGGGACAGTTGGGGGAAGGGATCAAGGGAGAGCTAGGATGGTGGGGTGGGCTGGTGGGGGAGGGGTTTCTCAACTTGCGTTTTAATTTAGTGCATGTGGCCTGGAGGTTAGGTTGAGTGAGAACAGCCGTGGGAGGGAACGGGGAGAGGCGAAGGGAAGGTCACAGATGGACACGTTCCTTAGAGAAGGAAGCCAAGGCCAGGCTATGGGTTCTGGGGGTGGGGAGGGAAGGTACCCTTAGTATATTAAGACTCAGCCAAAGTCACTGCTTGATGCCAGCTTCCCCAACCCCCTCCAGCCCAGCTCCCAGCCCAGATGCCTGTCCTGCTGGCTTCCTCCACTTCCTGTAGGGAGGAGGGGGGTGAGGATGTGGAGAATGGTGGCACCCTTCTGCCTCCAGCTCTCCTGCCCAGGAGAATCACTCACTCGGCCTGGCCTGAAGTCCCTGCCAGCGTCAGGCAGTCAGGAAGCCAGGTGCAGCAGGGGGAACACTTGTGCCCTTCACCACCCCTCCTCACACTCTGCCCCACCCTGGCCCCTCACATGAGGTTGCAGCTCTTGGCTCGATCCTTGTGTATCTCGCTCTCGTTCCCGGGCCCCCGGTCTGGCCGGCCTGCCAGCTGAGCCGATCTCTGCAGTCCACGGCGTGAGTCAGTACGACGCAGCTGCCTATGGCCACGGCCAAGGGATGCCACTGTAGCCACATGGAAGACATCCCTGACGCTGCGCTCAGACGACCGGGAGGAACACTCCACGTAGGACACAGCCCCTACCTGCTTGGCCAGCACAGTGCCCTGGAAGGATGGAATGAACGGAGGAAGTTATGGGGCAAGGGGCAGGGAGGCTGGGTGGGGTGGGGTGGAAGTATTATCAAGGGATCCGGTCAGAGGTCAGAGGTCAGAGGCTGAGCAAGGGATGAGCCGAGTAGGATGTTATCAAATCAGAGATGGAGAGGGGCAGAAGTGAAAGGTCCAGGCTGGGGCTAGGTCAGAGGTCAAGAGTCCCACCTGCTCATGTGTAACTGGGATAAGCCTCTGCTTGGACAGCTCCCTCAGTGTGGCCAGGTCGGTGCGCATATCCAGTTTACAGCCAACCAGCACAACCTTGGCATTGGGGCAAAACTCCTGAGTCTCCCCTTGCCACTATTTGGGGGAAGAAAACAGTTATGGAGGGATAGGAGGAGGCACACGGTGAACTCTTGCTCTGGGCCAGGAGAACACCCTTCCTCACATCATGCAGAAACCATGCACCCCTCTGGGCTCTCCCATGTGAGCAGGAAGGTACGAATGGTGGGCCTGGGCTGGAAGCAGGATGGGGTATAGGAAAAGGAAAGGAGAGAAGGACTGTGGTCCTGGATCACAGGGCCCTGCTTCTACCTCAGTGACCAGGAAGGGTCTACCAGCCTGAAACCTTCCCATTCCCAACCCCTTCCCCAAATTTGTTCCCAAGAACAGACCAATCGCCCCCCCCCCCACACACACACTACAGCTGTTTTAGTGGACTTCTGTCCTTTCAACATGGGCTTTTCTCATGGAAATGGAGGCCTGGAGAGGAGACCACAGGGTTCTCCAGAGCTCCTGGAGCAGCATTCCCAATCCCACCATCTGGTGTTCCCACACCCAAGGAGATGGGGAGGATAGATAAGGAATCTCTTGAGTTCTTCTCCCTGTCCTCCTCTGTCTCCCCCAGGTGCTGAATCCAGCTCTGAGGGCAGACTTCCAGGAAGCGGGGGTGGGAAGAGTGGGCAGGATAGAGAAGGATGAGAGAGCTTCACACATTCTCCAGTTGATGACCCTGCCCCAGGCATCACTCTCTCCTCTTGGCCCATGCTGTGTCAGGACCATCGTTTCTGGTCCCCCTGAGTCTAACCATCCTGCTTCCCCAGGCTCCCACCTTCTTGAGGACACTGTCCAGTGTTTCTGGTCGGCTAATGTCGAAGCAGATGAGCACAGCATCTGAATCAGGATAGGCCAGGGGTCGGACGTTATCATAGTAAGAGGAACCTGAGAGAACACAGGGAGGGAGGAGACAGATGAGGGTCCTGAGTGGGTGGGTGACCTGGAAAGGAATGGGAGACCTTACCAATCCTGGTCAAGGATTGCTAGGAGTGGAGAATGGAAAGAGCATCCTGGGTTTCTCCAAGGATGGGAATAGGCAAAGGTGAGGTTAGATGGCAGAGAACAGCTCTCCACTTCCCTAGGGGCTTCTTTAAAAGTAATCATTCTTCATCTTCTCTGAGTCTTTGAGAAGCTCATGAAATCTCTCCACATTCTCAAAAGTTTGCATGTGCTTTCTGGGCTTTGACAGACATGTCTTCTAAAGCCCTCCAGGGGAGCCGAGATTTAAAAAAACAAAAAAACTTCTTTTTTGGAGGAGGGGAGGGGCAGAGCTCTCCCACCCACTTGGGACATCTCAGATTTCTATACTTCAGTCTATAGAAGCAGTTCCCCACCCGTCAAACAAATTCTAAATGTCTTTTCTAAACCCAGCTCTATTTCCTGAGAAACAAGTTCCAAAATAAATCCATTCCTCCCAACTTTCCCAGGTAAGCAAGCTGAGAGGATCGAATACTGGGCTTTCTCTCCCTTAGGACAAGGTTTCTATGTGTCTCTGCAAACTCTGCCTCAGTTTCTCTGGTTTTAAGCAGAACATTGATTTTCCGTCCTCCTAAAATTGGTTGGATAGGCTGGGCTTACCTGGAGCCTAAGGGTCTAGCCAAGGGAGGGGCGAGGGTAGGAGCCTAGGAAGTCAGGGTGACCCCAGGGACTTGGCTACCTGAAGTGTCCCACATGTTGAGCTCAATGCGGCGCTTGTCGATCTCAAAGCTTGCGGTGTAGTTCTCAAACACGGTGGGGACATAACTCTGCAGAGAGGGATGGGTCAAGATGTGATCCTCCAGTCTTCAAGCCAGACAAATGCCCTCCTCACTCCCACACATCTTCCAGCCCAGCCCCTGGACGCAAGTTGGTCTAGTGTTGGGCAAAGAGGAGATCCCGGGAGCGGCTGTCTCAGCGGAATGTCTGCTAGGCTCCCAGACCCCCTCCCGGTCCCTTCGGGCCCTAGTTCTTCCCCTCTCCGATGCCCAGGACCCCCGACATTCCCCTAGCGTTCCCTCCTGGATCTCTGGTTCTCCCAAACCCCACTCATCTCACCCTGCTCCCCAATCCCTCCCACCCCAATCCTCTGCAGTCCCCCGGAGCCCCCAACGCCTCCCTCGGTCCCCGGTCCTCCGAACCCCTCTCTCTCGACCCTGGTTACCCCGGCACCCATTTCGGTTCGTCCCCTAGGGCCCTGATCACCCACCCTCGCGGCCTCAGCGCCCTCCTCCCAAGACGCGGGTCCCTCACCCCGGGGTAGGCGTCCTTGGCGAACACCTGCAGCAGCGCCGTCTTGCCGCACTCCGCGTCCCCCACCACCACGATCTTGCAGCGGCCGCTCTGCCCCTCCATAGTCCCGGCTACGCGCCGGCCCCCTGCGCAGCCCCCCTCCGGGGCCCCGCTGCCGCCTCCCCCGCCGCTGCAGCTGCAGCCGCTCGGGCCGCCGACACCGGCATCTCGCGGGCCCGCGCCGAGCCCCCGCCCGGGGCCGCGGCCCCCCCTCCGCCCCGCCCCCAGCCCGACAGCCGCGCCCCCGGCCCCGCCTCCCGCCCGCGCAGCCTAGGGGGCGGGGCCCAGAGGAGTGGGGCGGGGCCCGGGGAAGCCGAGGGCCGGGAGCAGGGTTCCAGCGCGCGGGGTGGGGGGTCTGGGGAACCCCTACGGGTTTGGGGCGGGCCAAACCAGGTTGATTTGAGTGTTTTGACTTCTTTGGAGAGGGGCGCGGGGCAGAGTTCCGGTGAAGTTCTGAGGGGTAGGGTGAAAGCAGCAAACGCGCGAGGCTCGGGCCTTGTGCGTGCCCACGCGTGCACGCCGGTGTGCTAGTGCGGACACGCGCGGGGGCAGCCATCCGCTTCCTGAACAGGAGGGGGCGCGAGATGGCAGGGGAAGGAGGGAGTCTTTTTGGTTCGATCTTCTTACTCCCTTCTCTCTCATCGTCCCGGCAGGGAGTCTTGGGGATACGAAGGTATGGACTCCAACACACCCACCCGGTCAATGGTGACATCATGGCTTTCCGTCCCCATGGCAACGAACGTCATAGTCTGGGGCTGGGGTGGCTTCACCGCGGGCCTGGACTAGCAGGGAAGTGTGGCCTTTTTCTCCAGCCGAGACCAGGGTGGAAAGTTTCGGGTGAACTGCGTCCTCTGGTGGATACTTTGGGGAGACAGAGATGGGGAGGAAGAGGATAATAGAACTGCCCACGATGACAGCCTTGCTGGAGCCAGAGACAAGCTCTAAGCCAGAGACAAGCTCATTTAAGACTTGATCCGAAGCCTAGCGATAATCACACCAGTGTTTTGTGTTTGCATGTAATGCTTTACATTTGAAAGCGCTTCTTTATTTTTTTAAATTTTTTAAAGGATTTTATTTATTTATTCATGAGAGAGAGAGGCAGAGATACAGGCAGAGGGAGAAGCAGGCTCCATGCAGGGAGCCCGACGTGGGACTTGATCCTGGGTCTCCAGGATCACGCCCTGGTCCGAAGGCAGGCGCTCAACCGCTGAGCCACCCAGGGATCCTGAAAAGCGCTTCTTTAAATAGGTTATACTCGGTTTGATTTTATCTTTTAGCGCAAGCAATATCATCACCATTTTACAGAAAGAAAAGTCGAGGCACAGAGCTTTAACAGACTTTTATTTATTTTTTAAAAGGATTTTATTTATTTATTCATGAGAGACACAGAGAAAGGCAGAGGCAGGGACGTAGGCAGAAGGGAGAAGCAGGCTCCCCGCAGGGAGCCCGATGTGGGACCGGATCCCGGGTCTCCAGGATCACATCCTGGGCTGAAGGCGGCATTAAACTGCTGAGCCACCCGGGCTGCCCCAGATGGAGAGTTTTAGAGTTGGCTTCCCTGCTCCAAGTTGCCAATGCAAGACCACACGAATGGGTCACATGTGGGTACAGTTAGAGCCTGAGGAACAGCTTAGTTGTTTGGGTTCTAGTCCAAAGGTGGCTGGCTCCCCAAATCTTTTTTTTTTTTTTTAAGATTTTATTTATTCATGAGAGACAGAGACCCAGGCAGAGGGAGAGCAGACTCCTCGAAGGGAGCCCGACGTGGGACTCCATTCCGGGTCTTCAGGATAGGTGGCTGGCTCCCCCAATTTTTTTTTTTTAAGATTTTACTTATTCATGAGAGACAGAGACACAGGCAGAGGGAGGAGCAGACTCCTCTCAGGGAGCCCGATGCGGGACTCGATCCCAGATTCCGGGATCATGGCCTGAGCCGAAGGCAGGCGCTCAACCACTGAGCCACCCAGGCTTCCCGAAGCTCAGGTTTCGGGATCGTCCTTCAGATTGTCCTTTACATATTGCTTAACTCGCCTAGATTTATTATGAATAAATACACAAATTAAGTCGCAGTCTGGACGACCTTAAGAATGCCCTCGCGAGGGTCTCTCCAGACATTCCTGGTCTCCAGGTTCCGCGCTCCGGCCACACCCGCGCGATGGCCCTGGCCCTTTAAGTCGGCGCGCGAGGCCCCGCCCCGCCTGGTGCCCCGCCCCTCCCGTTCCGAGTCCGCAGCCGCCGCTGCCTGCGACGCGCGCCCCGCCCTCCCCAGCTGTGCACCTTCCGTCCAGCTGCGCGCACGTCGGGAGTCCCAGACATGTCCGCGGAGAGAGAAGCAGCCGAGGCGGCCACCATGGTGGCCGCGGCCGAAGCAGGGGCCGGAGAAGACGCCCATTCTCAGCCACCGAAAGCCGAGGCCGCTGGCGACACCCAACCACCCGCGACTTCCGAGGGGGCCGCCGCCGCGTCGCCGCGGCCGCTGAGGTGCCTGGTGCTCACCGGCTTCGGGGGCTACGACAAGGTGAAGCTGCAGAGCCGGCCGGCCGGGCCCCCGGCCCCCGGCCCCGGGCAGCTGACGCTGAGCGTCCGGGCTTGCGGGCTCAACTTCGCCGACCTTATGGCCCGGCAAGGGCTGTACGACCGGCTGCCGCCTTTGCCCCTCACCCCGGGCATGGAGGGCGCCGGCGTCGTGATCGCGGTGGGCGAGGGAGTCAACGACCGCAAGGTGAGCGGGCCCTGGCAGGGCGGGGAGAGGCTGCCCAGGCCATGCAGTGGGGCTCGAGTGGGCGGGGGCCGGGGGTGTGGCAGGGCGGAGGAAAACTGGCACCGGGTAGACGGGCGTGGAAGGCGTTGGAAGGGAACCTGTGTGTCGAGGGCGCTGGGGAACTGGGTCTGTAGTGGAGATGGAGTTATCGTCCCTTCCCCGACCATTTTTAATTGTGGCCGCCGCCCAGAAGCGGCGGCGGTGGTGGTAGTTTGGGGGGGGGGGGACACAATAAGGCACTCGGGCGCATGCGCACAACGACCTTACCAACTACCCCCTCCTCGCCCCCCCCCCCCCCGCCAACTCCCAGCTTAAAACCCCACCTGTACCCCTGGCACGGAACATTTCCCGCGTAATTGTGGTGTGTGACCCTGAGTACCTTCTCCCCGAGGAGCTTGGGGAGTTATGTAGTCCGGGTTGGGCGGGGACGCATGACCCTGCCAGAGCCCCAGTCACATGCAGCCCCGTGGTCTGTGGGGGTGTGAGGAGGCCCCTCCCAGAGCTGGGCCAAAGAGAGGAGGCACGCCCATCATGGAGGAGAGGGAGCCTGCCACCCGCTCTCCCACCGGCCTGACACTGCCTCTCTGATCTTGGGGTTGGCGGGGACGAGATTGGGTCTCTGGATCTTTGTTTTAGGCTCTCTGTATCCCGTGACTGCACTATCTCCTCCTCCGGTGACTCAGCCTGGGGGCCGCGACCCCAGGCTGCCCTTGGGAACGTTGGGGGGCGGGGGCGTTGGTGGGGGTGGGGAACACGCCTCCTCCTTCCTCCCAGGGGACCCTCGCCTCAGAAACCCGGACGGTGCCCATTTGGACTGGGGGATTGGGGTGGGGGGGTGTGGCACCGGGAGCAGGTTGGCCCAGCTCTGCCGGTCTGTTTCTCCTTTCGTTTATCATTAATCTTGGCCACAAACCCGGACAGCGGAGAGTTCCAAAAGAGCAATTTTGTGAGAGACTTAAAGTGAAGCCTTTGCAGTCATTTGTTTGGGGATTTCTTTTTAAATCAGCTCCCTGCAAGAGAGGCCCCTCAGATGCAACCTTCCTCTTGCTAGTCCCAGATCCCAGAGCTGGAATTCTTGGATTTATTGTGTATGCAAACATCTTTTTAAAGTGCTTCTGCCTCCATTCAGCTCTGGCTCCACCCTTTCCACTGACTTCTAAGTAATCCCACTCTTCAGAAGGTGCTAGGAGGAATTTGGTGTGTGTGTTGAGGGGGGAATTGTAGTTCATGTTTGAAGGCCACCCACCTAACCTCCCTCCCCACACTTTCCGCTTAGTAAATACAGGATATCCTGTCCAGAGCAAGAACCTGATGTAAGAGGCTGGATTCTGTGGGGAGAGCGCTCCTTCCCTCCAGATGTGGAAGGAGGAGGGGTCATGGCCCTGCCCTGTGATGGGCAGAGGGGTGGGCTTTAGCCTGGGTAGGTGAGCCTTGTTCTGGGCCAGATTGGTCACAGCCCTGGCTAACCACTGCACTTCCCAGCACTCCTGGGCTCTTTCTGAGTCTCCTAGTCCTGAGTCCTAGGGTGGAATGCTTCCATTCCCCAGACCTCATCTCAGGCCGGTGCTGGCAAGGGCACATCCCAGCCTGCCTTCAGTCCTCCTTGTGCATGGAGTGTGGGGACTTGGGGACATGAAAAGGGGTGTGTTTTGGGGATCCCTGGATGGCTCAGTGGTTTAGCGCCTGCCTTTGGCCCAGGGCATGATCCTGGAGTCCCAGGATTGAGTCCCACGTCAGGCTTCTGCATGGAGCCTGCTTCTCCCTCTGCCTGTGTCTCTGCCTCTCTCTCTCTCTCTCTCTCTCTCTCTCTCTCTGTGTGTGTGTGTGTGTCTCTCATGAATAAATAAATAAAATCTTAAAAAAAAAAAAAGAAAAGAAAAGAGGTGTGTGTGGGACTCCCATCCATCCCTCTCTCGATGGATCGATCCCGATCCCAAGTCTCCTTAATGTACAGAATTCCCATCATTCCTGGCAGGGACCAAAACAGACCGGGATTGTCCTAGAATAGCACCCACATTTCCCTCTGCATGGCCTTCAGAGAGTGAGGAGAGGCCTTGCTTTCTTCAGAGATTACCCCCTTTCCTCTGCCCTCCTCTTGACCCCAGATGCTAAGCTGCAGGGAAAGATTCTGTTTTCTTAGCTCCCTTTCCCTCCTGCAGTGAGGCTCTTGTGCAGGTGGCTGGGGCGGGTCCAGAGTAGGGAGAGGGGATACCTCTTCCTGGTGGTTTAGGGCTGTGTGGCTGTCTTTGTACATCACCCCAACCCCTTGTCTCTGGGTGAAGGTGTTTTCTGAGCCCCCAGTGCTGGCTCAAATGTTTCTTGTGAGGTTATTGCACCAGCCATAGCTGCTCAGAGATCTTTATGGCCCCCTATCATTATTATTACCTAATACTTTGAACTGCTTACTCTGTGCCAGACACTGAGCTAAAAATTACCAAACGGTTTTTTTTTTTTTTTTGCCACTTAATCCTTATAATTGCCCTATTTTACAGACAGGAAAACTGGAGCTCAAAAAGATTAAATAGTTTTTATTTGCCCAAGGTCACACTGTCTATAAACAGCAGAGCCCGTTTTTTTTTTTTTACTTTTTTTTTAAATTTTTATTTATTTATGATAGTCACACACATAGAGAGAGAGAGAGGCAGAGACATAGGCAGAGGGAGAAGCAGGCTCCATGCACCGGGAGCCCGACGTGGGATTCGATCCCGGGTCTCCAGGATCGTGCCCTGGGCCAAAGGCAGGCGCCAAACCGCTGCGCCACCCAGGGATCCCCTTTACTTTTTTTTTTAAACCAAAACAGTTTGATCTCTTAAACAGTACTCCATGCTGCCCTAACTATAAGCTTCTTGCATTCAGGGATTTTACACAATAGTGAAGTATAAATCTATAGAGTCGAGATAAAGACAGTATCTACCTCAAAGAGCTGGGAAGGATTAATCGAGTGTTTTTATATAATAAACTTACTATAGCACTTGGAGTTGGGCCTGGCCTCTGGTAAGCACTCAGTAAAGGTAAGTTGTTATTATTTTCTGTGGTATTATTATTACTATTACTGTAACTACTGTGGCTGCTTCTTTTGCCACTTCATTGCCAGGAAGAGGGTCTTGAACGTAGTCATAAATTGCCGGTGGGTGAACGGGCAAGGGACCGAATGATACTCTTCTTTCATTCTTCAAGGTAGGGGACCGGGTGATGGTGTTGATCCGGTCAGGCATGTGGCAGGAGGAGGTGACTGTGCCCTCAGCCCAGACCTTCCAGATGCCAGAGGCCATGACCTTTGAGGAAGCCGCTGCCTTGCTGGTCAATTACATCACAGCCTACATGGTCCTCTTTGACTTCGGCAATCTACGGCCTGGCCACAGCGTCTTGGTACACATGGCTGCAGGTGACAGGCCTCCTCCCTTCATCCCCCCCTTACCCCACCCACATTTCCTTCGTGCCCCTTCCCTGCAGCCTGTCTGGACGGTTGTCATGGCAACACCAGCTGCCTCGGCCTCTGGCTCCCAGAGGGCTCTGCAGTATTGTTGCCGTGGTAACACTCAGGCACCAGGTCCAGCCTGGCGTGCTATCCATAGCAACGTGCCCTCAGCCAGCACCCCCTCCTTTGCCAGCTCCCCTCCCCTCAGTTCTCCATCATGGATATTGGATGTTGTTATGAGGAGAGAAAGCCTTTACATGAGCCCAGGCAAAATGAAAGTGATGAGCGGAGTCCTTGAGAGGCAGGAACAGGGGGCGGGGGCGGGGTGACCCCACATCCCCCCTCATGAAACCATCTTGCCACAGGGGGTGTGGGTATGGCCGCCGTGCAGCTGTGCCGCACAGTGGAGAATGTGACGGTGTTCGGGACAGCCTCGGCCAGCAAGCACGAGGTGCTGAAGGAGAACGGGGTCACGCACCCCATCGACTATCACACGACTGACTACGTGGATGAGATCAAGAAGATCTCCCCCAAAGGTGGGGTGGGCATTTGGACAGGGACAGGGTGGCCCAGAACAGGGAGGGGTGCACCAGATCTGTGTATCCTAATGCTGTTCCTGGGCACCCCCTCTATTCTGTGACAGGAGTGGACATCGTCATGGACCCCCTGGGTGGGTCAGATACTGCCAAGGGCTACAATCTCCTCAAACCCATGGGCAAAGTGGTCACCTATGGTGAGTTAGCAGGCTGTGAGGGGGAGCAGGGTGGGTCTAAAGGGCATGATGTAGAGGCCCAGGGACTCAGGTGCTCAAGCAAGCATCTGGGTGAGGGTGAGCCGGGTTGGGTGCTGCTTGCAGATTGCTGCCTCCAGGGTGGAGCTATTGTCATTCTCATTCACTCCTTTTCCTACGAGTCACAGTGAATTCTGTGTTCTTTCTGTTCTCCCGTTTGGGGAGTATTCCAGATGCAAAATCCATCATCAGTTGGCCTGCCTATGTCTTACCCTCCTGGGCTGCTTGGGCAAGCTGCATTGTCATTTGAAAAACTGTTTCACAAAAAAGTCAACAAATAAATAAAGATGAGGGCAATTTTTGAGTCAGCTGGAGACCATTTAGGCCTGGCAGCCAGCAGGTGGGGGGATTAGCTGGCACTCCGTGTTGCTGCCGTAGATATGCTAAGAGGCCCACAGAGGGCAGGTGAGCATGGATTTGGACAGGGACGTGCCTGGTACTGGGATTTACAGGCTGTGTCTCCCCATTCCTCAGGAATGGCCAACCTGCTGACCGGCCCCAAGCGGAACTTGATGGCCCTGGCACGCACATGGTGGAATCAGTTCAGCGTGACTGCTCTGCAGCTCCTGCCGGCCAACCGAGCTGTGTGTGGCTTTCACCTGGGCTACCTGGAGGGTGAGGTAGAGCTAGTCAGTGGTGTGGTGGCCCGCCTCCTGGCTCTGTACAACCAGGGCCACATCAAACCCCACATTGACTCCGTGTGGCCCTTTGAGAAGGTGAGTGTGATGACTGCATGGAGGGCCAAGGTGGGAGCCCTGAAGGCTGGGGTCCCAGGGGTGGGATTCCCGAGAAGAGGAGGGGGACTCTTTTAGGCTGGCTCTCTGGAGGGGCTGGACGGCGCTGGGAGCCAGGTCTTGTTTTCCTCTCCAGGTGGCAGATGCCATGAGGCAGATGCAGGAGAAGAAGAATGTGGGCAAAGTCCTCCTGGTGCCTGGACCGGAGAAGGAGAACTAGGGCGGGGGGCTGGCAGAGACCCTCATGGCCCGGGAAGAGAGAGACTGGGGAGCCGCGTTAATGTTGATCACCAGACTCTCTTACATTTCATCCTCTCTCATAACGCTCTGCCCTCTCTCCCCCAAAAGGTCTCCGTCGTGATGACGTCTCCCCTGCCCTGTTCTGTCTCCTTAGGCAGGGCTGCCCCCTCCCCCTTCCTGCCCTCGGAAGAGGTTGGGAAGTGACCACTTGGATGTCTGGGCCCTGCCAAGGGGACAGGGAGGGTCAGAGGGAGGCCGGCTGCTTCCTGCCCCCACCCTTTCCCTGGGCCCGCTGTGCTGCTTTTGTGCCAAGGTTAGCCAATCCCTTTCCGTCCAGTTCTGTGTGCTTCCACCTCTGCCTCATCTCCCCTCCCACCCCTGCCCCACACCGACCCCTCCCACCCCCCAAAGAATTGAAATGTCAGCTCAGGATATGGGGCCAATCTGTGTGAATCTAGCATGTCCCCATCTCGCCCTCGTGTCCCTTCAGCCCAGGCCAACCAGGGCCCACCTCTGAACTCTGCGGCCTCTTGTCCCCCACCTCCTCAAGCACAACTGGGCTGCTTCCACCTCCAGGTTTTCTGCCACTCTCCACCAACGTTGCCTCTTACAACAGGGGTAGGAATCAGACCTGCTCCCCTAGGTCACAACTGTGGGAGGGACACAGGCCCCCCCCCCCACCTACCCCTTCACTGAGTTCTCTGGAGTTGTTCTCAGTGCCTTAGCAACGGAAAACCTGTGCTTGCATGTGGGGCGGGGGTCCCTGTCTCACATCTCCTTCTCTACCCCCGTACTCCCCAGTGCCTTCCTTGTTCTGCTGGAGCTGGGGTTTTGCTGCCTCCCAGTCCCACAACACTGCCAAAAATCTGTGTGCGTGCCAGTGGGTGGGGGGGCAGGGGCCAGCCCTAGCCTCCTGGGGTCTCTGCTGTGTCCTGTCTCTGGGGCTGTCATTTCTCTGTGGCTGGTTGAAAAGAAAAAGGCAGGGAAACTTTCTCAGCCTCGCAGATAAGTGTGGCATTTACCAGCCTGAGCTCTGAGAGGCTGTGCCATCTGTTTCTTGTTCTGGGACCAAAGTAAAAAAATAATCAAAGCACATTACCCGTGTCATCAAGGGAGGCCGCGGCCTTCTCAGAGCAGGGGGCGCCTTTTCGAATTCAGCCCCGAACTTTGTTTACATGGGTGGGGAGATGGACCGGGGTGGGGGTGGGGACGGTCAGGAGGAGGGGGTGTTGAGGACCTGGGCTGCTGGAACCAAAGCAGGGACTTCCTGGCTGGAGGGGTATAACCCCCTCTGCTCTGCGACGTGGAATTTGGGTTATTGCCCAGGCACTGCCAGTGGGAGGTGAGGTGAGGAGCTCAGCCTCTTCATTGTCTAAATGAGGCCTGAATGTGTGAAGTGCGATTTCTGCTTTTCGTGTACCCCCCCCAACCCTCCCCACCCCAGTTTACCGAAGCTGCCTTTGTGTTTGTGTCAATAAAAAGCCAAACCCTGGGTCCTGATTGTTGCCTCTTGAGAGTGGAGGGGAAGGTGGGCTCATGGAAGGCCAGTGCTTGAGAGTGGAAGGTTAGGGTTCCTCCTTCCATGCTCAAGTCAAGTTTCCTTTCAGGAAATGCAATGAGAAGAAGGTCACGCCACTTTTATTGTTCTTGGGCAGCATTGTACAACCCATAATCCCTGACGCTGTTGACTAGCACAATCTCTTGCACCCAATGCACCTGACTCCAGCCTGGTTGAAGAGGCTTGGCCGAGGGGTGGGGGCAATGAGAAGGGTAGGCTCTTAGCCCGATGTGGCAGTAAAGACTGCCAGGCCCCGCTGTCCCGGGGGCACAACTCTCAGGGACTCCACCTCTCCACCTCCACGAGAGGGCTTCTGGAAGTGGATCTCCAGGATGTCCTGCAACTCTGGGCCATCCAGGACATCAGGAATGTTGAGCACTAGCACTGATTGGGGCACCGGCCGGAACATGATCTGGAAGAGGAGCCAGGAGCTGGGCAAAAGGCTCTCCAGAGTCAGGGACTGGGGACAGGCAGTACCCGTGGGGGTATGGGAGGGACCAGGGGCCTGGAGAGGCTGGCAATGGGGAGGGCAGTGGAATTTGGGGACTCTGATCCCATTTTGGGCAAGTTTCTGGCTGGCAGACAGGTTCCTTGCCCAGCCTCTGATTCTCTACTTTCCCACTTACCTCTGCCTTCTGGATCTCCCCAGTTAGGTAGGGAGAGACTCTCAAAGGGAAACTTTGCCTGCCCAGTGGCACTGTGAACTGGCCAACCTGGCACAGGTGCTGCGCCACTGTGGGGAGAGAGAGGGATGGACGTCTGGCATCAAGGGCTCTGCTGTCCCTCAGTCTAATGCATCATTCTGAAACTTGTGGGCAGGGCCCTTACCTGTGTCCTTAGTGAAACCCAGAACAACACCCCCTTGCAGTAGTAGTTCCCGGGTCTCCACCTCACCACCTCCATTCCTGATCTTGCCAAAGAAGATCTCCAGTTTGTCCAGCAGCTCCTCCTCACTCAGTCTGAGCCCTGCAGGAAACCCACTGACCAGCACGCTCCACCTGCTTATCTGAGTGGACACCTGGGGCAGACATGAAGGAGAGATCCAGCCCCACTTCCCAGTGCCCAAGTGCCATGGCACTCCCTGCACATCCCAGGACCCTGCTGTTCTCTCACCTGGATGGTGGTCACCATGGGCAGCTCCAAGGCTTCCACTTGCACCCGCAACCGGCATTCCTCTATGTCGATTTTATGTTCCTTCTGCTGTAGCACCCTCTCAGCCACTGGCATGAGGAAGCAGCAAGGTCAGTGCTGGGATGCCTCCCAGCCTCCCTCCCAGGGCTTCTCATGAGAGCTCACCCTTGGGGTCATCAAAGGTGACCAGAGCAGAACCTCCTGGCAGAGGGTAGCAGATCCGCAGTTTGGAAACCAAACACGTGGGCACCTCTTTGCCCTGCTGAGTGTGTCCTCGGAACACCAGGGGGACTGCAGGTACTGAGAATGGGACCTGGAGGCCAGGGCAGGGAGGCTGATGCAGCCTTCAGGGGCGGGAGAGGCCTGACCCCCCCCCCCCCCAGGAGGAAAGTGTTCCTTGTGCTCAATGCCAGGAACAAGTACATTTACTGAAAGAAGAGCTGGATAAATGAGTGGATGAACATAGGTCAAGCCTGTACTGGCACTTTACTCCCAAGATCTTAGCTTGTTCTCACACCAGCAAGTCTGGTAGTTCCACTTTACAGATGAGAACACATGTCCCAAGAGCTCAAGTAACACACTGGAGGTCACACAAGGCAAAGAAGTGGCGGAGCCAGGAGAGAAACTAACTTCTAGTTCTTTCTACCAGGCCACCCTCTCTCCCAGCTTACCTGGTCAGGGGAGATGTCCCTGAGCTCTCTCCTCTGCTGCTGCAGTTCCTGCAGCCTCCTCCTCAGTCTGGTCTGCTCCTCCTGAAGCGCACAGAGGGCCTAGTAGGGGGAGATGACCAGACGTCCACCTGCCTTCCCGGAGAAGGAGCCCAGTGGAAGGCCTTTTCCCACAGCAGAGCTGGTGCTCAGCTCAAGGAGAGTCCAGCCCTGGGCTGGGCCTGGCCCACTTTCCTCAGGACTTGCCTGGCCTCATCTCAGCCACTGTCTGGGGGGTGCAGGAGGAGCCTTGGCAGCAGCCACAGTTGGTTCATTACAGAAGACTATGCCTTTAACAAACACTAACTGAGTTCCTGCTGCAGGGTGCCAAGCACTGACACAGGGTAGTGGGGGACAAGAGGCCAGCCATCAGGTCTGTACGAAACAGTACCCAAGACACCATACCCACAGGACCCACTGTGAAGCATGTTAGGCGTATGGAGGAGGGATGGTCCCATAGGCCTTAACATAACTAGGGAGGCCTCCAAAAGGGGTGCAGGCTTAGAATGGCAACACATCATACTATCAGCTAAACATTTATGAAGCATTTACTGTATGTCAGGCCATATGCCAAGCTTTCTATTTTTTTTTCAAGCTTTCTATATACATTATATCGCTCAATTCTGGAAACAACCCTATGAGATAAATTCCCTTAGCCTTATTTTACAGACGAGGAAACCAAAGCTCAGAGAGGATAAGTGACTTGCCCAAAGTCATTCGGCCCTATGCAGTCTGACTCCAATCTGTGCTTTCCAGTGAAGAAATTTAGCCCAGAGTGGGGGAGCGATATCCCCCACATCTCCCAGCTTGTCCCTTGACTAGTGGTCTTTCCACTGTACTAAGCAGCCTTTCAGGCTGCGTGTGATTTGGAGCAAGTCCAGAGACAGAGAGTGACAACATGGGCAAGGGAATGACACCAGGGACACGAATGAATGCACCTTTGTTTGTGGGATGGAGTAGACGTGAGCTGGCGAGTTCACTGTGTGGTTGGGAGGCCTGATTAATAAGGTCAGCTCAGAGAAGTGTGAGCTCACTCGGGAAGGCGGGACTGTATCCTAGCCATCTCTGTGTCCCCAGTGTTCGGCAGAGTCCCTGGCACAAAACAGGCATTCAAGAATGTGTGTGGAATGAATGAATGAATGTGGTGAATGAATGATAGGATGGGAGCATATTTCAGAGGGCACTGGAGATGTTCAGTGTGAGTTTGCTTTATTTTAAACAGAGGAACCCAGGGCTTGACCAAATAACACTGGTTGATGAGTAGTGAGAAAGGCACCCAGTTCTTTATATTTCTATAAATAAGGGACCTTTAGGGGCTGGACAGATGACATCAATGAGTCCAGGAAGCCAGTGTGGACAACAGGGAGTGCTAGGAACTCAAACTGGAGAGAGCATGTCCCCACCTAAGTGGCATCCTCTTCTCAGCTCCAGCCAAGATTTTCTCATGTGGGAATGTGGTTTCAGGATCCTGTATCTTCCCTTTTTTTTTTTTTTTAAGATTTTATTTATTTATTCATGAGAGACACAGAGAAAGAGAGAGAGAGAGAGAGAGAGAGAGAGAGGCAGAGACATGGGTAGAGGGAGAAGCAGGCTCCATGCAGGGAGCCTGACGTGGGACTCGATCCTGGGTCTCCAGGGTCATGCCCTGGGCTGAAGGCAGTGCTAAACCACTGAGCCACCGGGGCTGCCCGTATCTTCCCATTTTTATTTTATTTTATTTTTTTAAAGATTTTATTTATTTATTCATGAGAGACACACAGAGAGAGAGGGGCAGAGACACAGGCAGAGGGAGAAGCAGGCTCCATGCAGGGAGCTCAACATGGGACTCAATCCTGGGTCTCCAGGATCATGCCCTGGGCTGAAGGCGGCGCTAAACCGCTGAGCCACCAGAGCTGCCTCTTCCCATTTTTTTTTTTAAATTTTTATTTATTTATGATAGTCACAGAGAGAGAGAGAGGCAGAGACATAGGCAGAGGAAGAAGCAGGCTCCATGCACTGGGAGCCCGATGTGGGATTCGATCCCGCGTCTCCAGGATCTTGCCCTGGGCCAAAGGCAGGCGCTAAACCGCTGCGCCACCCAGGGATCCCGAGCCTCTTCCCATTTTTAAAAAAGATTTTATTTTAGGGGTGCCTGCCTTTGGCTCAGGTCATGATCCCAGGATTCTGAGACGGAGCCCCATGTGGAGCTCTCTGTCCAGCGGGGAGCCTGCTGCTTCTCCCTCTGCCTGCCACTCTGCCTGCTTATGCTCTATTGCTTTCTGTCAAATAAATAAAATATTTTAAAAATATATTTTATGTATTTATTTGAGAGAGAAAGCACAAGCAGGGGGGAAGGGTAGAGGGGGAGGAAAGAATCTCACGTAGACTCCCCACTGAGCATGGAGCCCAACGTGGGGCTCAATCTCATGACCCTGAGATCATGACCTGAGCCAAAACCAAGAGTTGGTTGCTCAATCGATTGAGCCACCCCGGTACCCCAATAAATATAGAGTTTTTCAAAGAACCATCCAAGTAGTAGAGTTCAGATCTGATATTAGTAGGAGATAGAACTAGTGAAGATTTTGGGGGTGTGTGAGGTAGTATTTTACCTCAGTGTTTAAGGGACACAGTGTTTAAGGGAGCAATTTGGCAGCTATGGCAGGATGAACTCAAGCATCAGGAACTGGGAAGTGACACTGAGGTTCTAATTCCCATGGATGTGGCAGGAGCTGGGCTGGGCGTTTGGCAATGGGCATGTGCGGGTGAGCATATTTCATGAGGAAAGCTCCAGGACTCTGGGTGTGTATATTAAGGAGACAGAGGGGACAAACTGAAAAGATGATGTCGATGTTGCAGACCTAGGTGTCAAGAGTTTGGTAGAAAGCCAGTGACACAGGCGCCTGGATCAGTTAAGCGTGTGCCTTTGGCTCAGGTCATGATCTCAAGATACTGGGATCGAGCCCCGTATCGGGCTCTCTGCTCAGTGGGAAGTCTGCTTCTCCCTCTCTCTCTGTGATCTTTCTGGTTCTCTCTCTCTCAAATAAATAAATAAAATCTTAAAGCAAGCAAGCAAGCCAGCCAGTGACCCAACAGGCAAAGAAGAGAGTCGATGGTTACTAGGGGCCTGCTAGATGCGGGGCATAGTTGAATGCCAACTCAATTTAAGTATCACAAAATGGCCTCCTATCTTCAACACCAAACTGAAACTTCTCTCTTCTAGGACCCTCTGAAAGACAACACAGGCCAATCATAGTCACTTACATGAATTCAACTATATATGCTATTACTTATATGACAGGATAACATGATCTCCTAAATGCAAGCCAATGTGCAACTGGTGGTCCACTGAAAAAAACTGCAATCTATTCTACACAGAGCTCATTGAAAGACTATAAATTCTGGATATTTTGGGGGTGAGTTAATGATTTTAGGTTAATTTTGACTACCTTTATGCTTCTGCCTTACTTGCCAATTTACAAACTAACTACCCCATAAAGATAAAAATCTCATGCTATCTATGCTCATCATAGGGGTATTGGGTGGCAGTTTAAAAGCACGAATTTAGGGGATCCCTGGGCGGCGCAGTGGTTTGGTGCCTGCCTTTGGCCCAGGGCCCGATCCTGGAGACCCGGGATCAAATCCCATGTCAGGCTCCCGGTGCATGGAGCCTGCTTCTCCCTCTGCCTGTGTCTCTGCCTCTCTCTCTCTCTGTGTGTGACTATCATAAATAAATAAAAAAAATTAAAAAAAAAATAAAAGCACAAATTTGGGCACCTGGGTGACTCAGTGGTTGAGCATCTGCCTTTGGCTCAGATTGTGATTCTGGGGTCCTGGGATGGAGTCCTGCATCAAGCTCCCCATGGGGATCCTGCTTCTCCCTCTGCTTATGTTTCTGCCTCTCTTTCTGTGTCTCTCATGAATAAATAAACAAAATCTTAAAAAAAAAAAAAGCACAAACTTTAGGGCTCATATCCAGCAACTCCTAGGACTGCAAGACAATGAGCAAGTTATTTAGCTCTCTGTGCCTTGGTTTCCTCATCTGTAAAATGGGCATAATAGCAATTTCCACCTATATATAATTTTGTTGGAAACAAAGGTGCCTGACACATAATGCATGCTATGTTGAGTGTTTTCTATTTTATTTTATTTTATTTTATTTTATTTTATTTTATTTTATTTTATTTTATTTATGATTTTATTTATTTATTCATGAGAGACACAGAGAGAGTCAGAGACATAGGCGGGGGAGAAGCAGGCTCCATTCAGGGAGCCCGATGTGGGACTTGATCCCAGGACTCCAGGATCACGCCCCGGCCCCAAGGCAGGCACTAAACCGCTGAGCTACCCAGGGATCCCCTTGTGTTTTCTATTTTATTAATCCTCCTTTCATTATTTTTTTTAAAGAGTTATTATTTGAGAGAGAAAGAGAGAGAGTGAATGTGTGAGCCAGGGAGGTGGGGCAGAGGGAGAGGGAGAAAGAGAATCTAAAGCAGACTCTGAGCTAATCAGGGAGTCCAATGTGGGGCTGAATCCCACAACCCTGAGATCATGACCTTAGCCAAAGTCAAGAGTCAGATGCTTAACTGACTGAGCCACCTAGGCACCCCTATTAATCCTCATTTTATAGATGGAGAACCTGAGGTCTGTCAGGGTTAATTAATGGGCCAAATTAAGCCAAACCCAAGGCCGTTGAAGACACACAGGGTCAGGGACAGGACTTAGTAGAAAGGACTCTGGTTTGGAACAGCATGTGGTGATGGAAGAAGCCAAGGGAAGGAAGAACTATTTGAAGGACAGAGCCTTAAAAATGTAATCTTTGAGGATACCTAGTCAGGAGGCAGAGGAGACAAAGGAATGGAAGAGGAAAAAAAAGGGGGGGCTGGTTAGAGATAAAGAGGGCTGGGGCCAGGACTGGGGACTGTCAGAGACACAGAGGGGGAAGAGGGAGGAAGCAGAGCTTCAAGGAAAGGAGGCTGTAAGATGTCTACTTGCTCATACTCATTCAAGAATTAGCTACTGAGCATCTACCAAGTGCCAGGTACTGTTCTAGGCTCTGGAGACACAATCGTGAACAAAACAGAACTTCCTTGTGGGGTTTATGTTCTAGAGGATGAATCAGACAATAAAGAGAATAAATAAAATCTACCGTATACTAGTGGTAATATTGTGGAGAAAAACAAAGCAGGGGCAGAGAGAGAACATTGGAGTACATTTTAAATGGGGTGATCAGAGCAGGCCTCGCTGAGATGATACTTGATCATTTAAATGAAGGAGATGCAGGAAGGAGCCATGTGTACACGGGGAAGTTCTATGCAGAGGAACAGCAAGTACATAGGCCCTGAGAAGGGAGTTTGTCAGGCGTATCTGAGGAATAGCAAGGAAGCCAAGGTGGTGGAGCAGAGGAACTGAGAGGAGAGTGGCCAGAGATGAAGTCACAGAGGAAATGGGGTTGGACCACGTAGAGACTGTGACATGTTGTGATGGGGGAAGCCGTAGACAGGCTTAAAGTTTAACAGGATTACTTGGCTATAGTGTGGCTATACTGCTGTGGAGAAAGGACACAAGCAGGGAGACCACCAAGGAGGCCATTACAGTGTCCAGGGAAGCCATGTTGGTGGCTTGGACCAGGTGGGAGTGATGGAAGTGGTGAGGATTGATTGAAGTTGCTGATGGATCGGAAGTAGAGTGTGGAAGAAAGAGAGGAGTCTGAGATGACTCTAAGCTTTTTGGCCTGAGCAAATGGAGGGAATATGAGCCATTTTCTGAGATGGGGAGGACTGTGGGTGGAAAAGATTTAGGGCAGAAAATTAGGAGTTTATTTTGAACATATTAGGTATGAAGTGCCTATGTGATATTCCAGCAGAGACATAGGGTAGCAGTTTCTTCTAGGGATCCAGTATTCAGGGAAGGGGTCCAGGCCGGAAGTATACATTTGGGAGTTATTCATGGAGGGAAGATAAAGTCACTAAACTAAGGAAGATCATGAAAAAAGTCACACAACTACATGAAAGCAACAGTGACAGGGGTACAGACATAGAGAGGTACAAGGGCTGATTTCTGGAGCATTTAACACAAAGGGTCAGGAGAAGAAGTACCAGCTAGGGAGAAGCGTGGGGGGTGGGGAGGTGAACCTGGAGGGAGAACAGGAGTGTGAAGAGGGGTTTCAAGGAGGAGGAGCAGCTGTGCCGAATGCTGCTAACAGGCCAACTAAGATGAGGAATGAGAATGAACACCGAGACTGAGAAACAAAAAACAGTGCTACTTATAAAGAAATAGCCTTACAAAGTTCACATACAAAAGATTATTATTGTGGTTTTATTTAAAACAGACAAAAAGGGACGCCTGTGTGGCTCAGCAGCTTAGAGCCTGCTTTAGGCCCAGGGTGTGATCCTAGAGTCCCGAGATTGAGTCCCACATTGGGCTTCCTACATGGAGCCTGCTTCTCCCTCTGCCTGTGTCTCTGCCTCTCTTTCTCTCTGTCTCTCATGAATAAGTAAATAAACAAAATCTTAAAAATAAAAAAATAAAACAGACAAAAAGAGGGGTGTCTGGGTGGCTTAGCCAGTAGAGCATATGACTCTTGATCTCAGGGTCTGAGTTCAAGCCCCACATTGGGTGTAGAGCTTACATTAAAAACAAAACAACAAAACAAACGAATAGAAATCTACATGATTAACAATAGAGGAATAGCTAAATAAATATCATGTAGCAATTAAAAGATATAGAAGAACATTTAATGATATGAAAAAATGCTCACAATTAGCCCCCAAAGCAAGATATACAAACTGTATAGAAAGTATGATCCTATTCTGTTGACTTAAAAAGTTTTATTTCCGGGTGCCTGGGTGGCTCAGTCAGTTAAGCGTCTGCCTTTGGCTTAGGTCGTGATCCCAGAGTCCTGGGATCAAGCCCTGCATTGGGCTCTCTGCTTGGCAGGGAGTCTGCTTCTCTCTATCCCTGCAGCTCCTCCTGCTTGTGCACTCTCTCAAATAAATAAATAAGATCCTAAAAAAAATGTTTTGGAAAAAGTTTTATTTGATAAGGATATTTATTAACACATAAAAATGCATAGGGGGCGACTGGCTGGCTGGCTCAGTCTTGCAAGAGCGTGTGACTCTTGATCTCTGGGTCATAAGTTTGAGCCCCATATTGGGTGTAAGGATTACTTAAAAAAAAAGTTTTAAAAAAAGGCATAAAAAAACTGGGAAAATAGCAAAATGTTATAAACAGAGGTTGTCTCTCAATAATAAATTTAGTGTGATTAAAAGATAAGAGTTTCCTGAATCTACCTTCCAATATGTAAATGCTCAAGGGAGTAGTTTTGGCAGAGGTAGAAGATGGAGGTGAATCAAGATAATCTTGGGGAACTGGGATTCTGAAAGGTTGGCAATAACAATAATAACAAACACATATTGGGGCACCTGGATGGTTCAGTGGGTTCAGGGTCTGCTTTTGGCTCAGGTCATGATCCTAGAGTCCCAGGCTGGAGCCCCACATGGAGCCCCACAACAGGCTCTCTGCTCAGTGGGGAGCTGCTTCTCCCTCTGCCTCTTACCCACTCATGTTCTATCTCTTATGCTCTCTCTCAAATAAATAAAATCTTAAAAAATAAATAACAAACACATATTGTATGCTTAATAGTTGCCAAGCAGTGTGCTAAGTTTTTAGTGTATTAATTTATGGATTATCTGCTTTAGTTTTTTTTAAGATTTTATTTATTTATTCATAGAGATGCAGAGAGAGAGAGAGAGGCAGAGACACAGGCAGAGGGAGAAGCAGGCTCCATGCAGAGAGCCTGATGTGGGACTCGATCCAGAGTCTCCAGATCACGCCCTGGGCTGCAGGTGGCGCTAAACCGCTGCGGCACCGGGGCTGCCCTGCTTTAGTTTTTTTTTTTTTTTTAAGATTTTATTTATTTGGGGATCCCTGGGTGGCACAGCGGTTTGGCGCCTGCCTTTGGCCCAGGGCGCGATCCTGGAGACCCGGGATCAAATCCGACATCGGGCTCCCGGTGCATGGAGCCTGCTTCTCCCTCTGCCATGTCTCTGCCTCTCTCTCTCTCTGTGTGTGGCTATCATAAATAAAAATATATATATATAAAAAAAAGAAAAAAAACATTTAAAAACAAAAAAAATATTTTATTTATTCATGAGAGACACAGAGAGAGAGGCAGACAGACACACAGGCCAAGGGAGAAGCAGGCTCCATGCAGACAGCCCGATGTAGGACTCTATCCCAGGTCTCCAGAATCATGCCCTGAGCTGAAGGCAGACGCTCAACCGCTGAGCCACCCAGCTGTCCCTCCTTTATTTTTTTTTTAAAGATTTTATTTATTTATTCATGAGAGACGTACAGAGAGAGGCAGAGACATAGGCAGAGGGAGAAGCAGGCTCCCATGGGGAGCCTGATGTGGGACTCGATTCTAGGACCCTGGGATCATGACCTGAGCCGAAGGGAGATGCTCAATCACTGAGCCACTGAGCCACCCAGATGCCCTAATTTTTCTTTTTATTTATTTTTAAAGATTTTATTTATTTATTCATGAGAGAGAGAGAGAGAGAGAGAGAGAGAGAGAGAGAGAGGAGAGAGAGAGGCAGAGACACAGGCAGAGGGAGGAGCAGGCTCCAGGCAGAAGCCTGACTTGGGACTCAATCCTGGGACCCCAGGGTCACACCCTGGGCTGAAGGCGGCGCTAAACCGCTGAGCCACCCGGGCTGCCCCAATTTTTCTTTTTTTAAAAAGTGATCTCTACACCCAACGAGGGGTTTGAACTCACAACTCTGAGATCAGGAGTCACCAGCTCCACCAACTGAGCCAGCCAGGGGCTCTGAGCCTGTGATCTTATTACACTTGGGGTGCAAATGAAAATTTCCCAAGCGAGACATCTGTGTACTTATAACAGATGGGGTAGTAGCAGGGAGGGAAAGACTGAAGAAGCTGGAGAGAGGAGGAAATTCATTCATCCCACAGCTGTTTATTGAGTGCTGACTGCTGGCCAGGCACAGGGCTAGCATGTCTAGGGATCAAAGGTGAACAGGCTACACAGGGGACCAGTCATAGTCTAGCAGGAGTCAGGGCATTCACAGGTCAGGAAAGAGAGGACCACAGCTCGCAGGGGGAAGGTGAGCTCTTTGAGGAGTAACACGTCTTCCAGTGACCGGGAAGAGGGCCCAGGGTTCAACTGAAATGAACTGTAAGGTGTGGAACTATCCATTTCAACTCTAGGATGAAATATAAGGAGGGGAAGTTTGTTGGGCAAGATCTCAGGAGATCAGGGTGTGAATGAATCTTAAACTTTTTGGGTCACAAAGCCCTTTGAGTATCGAAAGAGAACTGCGGATTGGCTCAGAAAAAATGTACATTCACATGAGGACTTCTGGAGCTCCTGAGGTGCAGGTTATAGAACTGCCTCTGAGGCAATGGGTTAGGGGAGAGGTAATGGCAGCGGCGTTTCTCCCCCAACCTCTAGCAGGTCTGAGAGATGGGCAGAGACACTTGGCCACCAGGCCCTGAGATACCTACCTGCACATTCTCAGCCAAGAGGAATGCTCCTCTGCTTCTCCCACCGCCCCCCAACACTCTCCTCACTTACCGCATCATAGACTGACATGGGCCTGGGGTCCAGTTGGCAAGGGCTGAGGCTTCAGAGCTGGGCGCAAAGTGGCAGCGTTCTCTGTAACGAAACGCTTGCTTGTACCTTCTGAGGTGTCTTAGTCCCCTCCAAGCTGGGCCTGACGTGCACTTCTGATGGCTCTGCCTGCAGGCTTTGCTTCCACTTTCATTTCTGCAAAATCCCTTCTGCTGGTTTGACACGCCCCCAGCCGCCTGCCCGGCCTCTGGGAGGAAGCCTTTCTGGTCTTGGAAGTTGACTTCACCCCCTGGAGGCCCCAGGGGAAGCCACCCACAAATAACTGCAAACAGGATGTAGGCCCCAATCAACCACTCATTCCCAGTACAAACATTAATCCCAGTACAAACCCGCTGGTAGAATTTTGTCTACTGTTATTTTCCTGGAGCCCAGAAAGATGCCGGGTGCATGAGAACTAATTAAGATTGAGAAATGTGACCAGGCTGGCTAAGGCCTCTCCACGTTTGCAAAGCTGTACGAGTAGCCAGCCATTTTGTTTGAGAGCTGATCCAATACTGGTTCTGCTTCACACGAGTTAACTCAATCTTCCAAACAACCCCACAAAGTCAGTTCTGTTTTTGCCATTTTACGGACGAGATTCTAAACTTCTGAGGCAGTGGAGTGTAGAAACTTGCTCGAAGTCATATTGCTGGGAAGTCAAGCCATGTATCCAAACCTGGGTGGAATAGTATTTGAATTTGGGCCTTGAGGCAGAGTAGAAAGAACTCGTTGTCTTTTTTTTTTTTTTTTTAAGATTTTATTTATTTATTCATGAGAGACACAGAGAGAGAGGCAGAGACAGGCAGAGGGGAAAGCAGGCTCCATACAGGAAGCCTGATGTGGGACTTGATCCCAGGTCTCCAGGATCACACCCGGGGCTGCAGGCGGCGCTAAACCGCAGCGCCACCAGGGATGCCCTCTAGTCAGAGGGTTTAAATTCACTTCCATTTGTGACTGAGTAGGCAAGGTACTTAGGAGTGTCTCCAGACTTAAGGTAGACGGACCATACTTAAGGGTAAGAAATCAAATGAAAGGACATAGGACTCTCTCTGTAGACTGGTTTCCTAATCTCCAGTCCAGGATTTTTCGAGTAATTTACAGACCTAACCCTTCCCCCACACTTCAGGTGGATGTATGCCAAGTGCAATGCTTGGTGAACACACCTGCTTGTTTCACTCCTACTTCCACCTAGTGACCAGCTCAGGTGGAGAGCCTATTTTACCGGTAAGTGTCATAGGTATCCAGTAAAAGGTAAAATGCCAGAGAAGGGCCAAATACCTATCCTTAAGTACTAGTGACCCAACCATGGCCAAGACCCTTGAATCACATCTTTTATCTCTGCCAGCCAGGCCATTTGGGGACATCTTTTCCTTTGTTTTGTTTTTTTTTTAAGATTTTATTTATTCAGAGAGAGGAGAGAGAGAGAGAGAGAGAGAGGGAGAGAGAGAGAGAGAGAGAGAAGCAGGCTCAATGCAGGGAGCCCAATGTGGGACTTGATCCCAGGTCTCCAGGATCACACCCCAGGCCACAGGCGGCACCAAACCGCTGCACCACGGGGGCTGCCCTGGGGACCTCTTGATCTCACTAGGAATGGGTGGGTGAAGGGTGAGATCAGGCTTTCATTAGTCCCCACCCCTATCTAGAGCAGCACCAGTTATCAGCAGATAATCTGCTACAAATTCTGACCTAGTAAATCCAAGTGGGACTATGGCACTCTGTGGTTGGTTTGAGATCCTCAGATTGGTGGCTCTCAATCCAAAGTAGCAAGGCCCACTGAGAAGGGCCTGTGGGCATTCCCAATTGTGTGTGTGTGTGTGGGGGGGGGAGAGGCAGTAGTAGAGTGGCCCAAGTTCTCTCTAGGTTATGTGACAGGCTGAAGCCAGCTTAAAGATGCTAAAGAACTCTGCACCTGAGAATGTCAGTAGTTCTTTTTTGGAAAACAGTTCAGTAGCTCACACCTTACCAACCAAGGGTATCCAAATGATGAAAGGATTATCAGGCTCAGGACAACTAGTCCAAGCTCACAAAGGCCTTATATATTTTCCCACAGCCTCTCACCCACCACCCAATGTCTCATCATATCAGTCTAACACATGCTGCAGGCAGACACAGATCTTTTTTTTTTTTTTTAATTTATTTTTAATGACTGAAAGAAATCTAAAACCGCAGCTTCTGGAAGAACCACTTATTCTTGCCAGTCTTGTACCTAGAAGGGGGAAGAAAAGGACACCATTGAGAAGAACAGTGAAGCCAAATTCCTTTCATGGACAATAGGGCCCCCATACTCCAAAATCCACCACTCAAATCCATTTACCTCTCCTCAAACTTGACCTTGGCCTCTCGTCGGGCCTTGCGTTTAAGAGCAGGGTCTCTGAAGACATCCTTGTTGACGACAGTTTTGTCCAAAGGGATATCCACAGAGTACCTGGCGACAATAGTAGGGAGGTAAGATCAGCCCACAAACTGCCAGAGCCTTCACACAGTCCAAGGACTCCTGGGACAGACATTAGGGTGTTAGGGTCTGTCTCCATAGGAGTGATTTGCAAAGTCCCAAGGATATTCTTTGGAAATTCCCAATTAAGAAGACTCCTTTACATAGACTCAAACCACCAAAATACTTCACATTTCATTCTCAACTTTCTATAGTGACTATTTTTCTAGCTAAGGACTTTCACTTTATTAAATCTCCTTCACTATGATCATGGCGGTTGGCCAGCTTTCCATTTGGAGCATTTTAACATTTTATTTATTTGCGAGAGTTCATATGTGCACACAGAAGCAGGGGTAGTAGCAGCAGAGGGAGAAGCAGGCTTCTGACTCCTCACTGACTAGGGAGCCTGAGACAGGGCTCGATCCCAGGACCCCAGAATCATGACCTGAGCTAAAGGCAGGCACTTACCTGACTGAGCCACCCAGGCACCCCTTGAGTCATTTTATTTAGCCTCATTCAAGTTGTGTGTGGGCAGGGGCAGCCTAACTGTTGACAGTGCGAAAGCTGGGTGACTAGTTGCTGAGATCTCACCGTTTCCCAACACCTGAGAGACAGCTCTAACCTTTTAAGATAGCTTAAAAGTAAACATGCAGCCTCCAGCAGCAAACCATAGGCACATAATGCTGGGTTTTGGCAATCATTGTTTAGGACTCTCTCAAATGCTGTATTTCCACATAACTGGTGCACCAAGATAGTGTGTATGATGCACAACACTGTGTAAGGCCAGGGACTAAGGGGCTTGGCAACCAAGTGGAATGAGTTGGGGGGGGGGAGGTGGTTTGCTTTATTTACCAACCATTTTGGAAAGCCTCCAGTAACTAAGTTAAGAAGTGGAACAGTGGTAGAGATCAGGCCAGATCCCATGCCTGTATTTACTCTGAATGCAAACAAATCAAATGATTCTTATCCAATACTTAACAGAACTTATAGGTGGGGAAACAGGGAGCTAGCTTAGAAGAGATTTTTAAATCCTGCTTGGCCAAATCAGGTAAGCCACCACAGAAAATGGAAGAACACAGCTCCATGTTGAATTAAAGAGGCAACACTGGAAACCACCACCACTTTGTAAGAGACACCGGAAAAATGATGGCTCTTCCCCATACTAGAATGGCTACAAGGCTGTCTCCTTATTCAGCAAGACAGAGGCAGTGAAAAGATAAGACCCTTTCATTCCCATTCCCGAAATGCTCACCTTGTGGGCATGAGGTGATTGTAGTTATAAACTTTCACAAAAGACTTGATCTTTGACCTCTTGGCGATTTTCTTCTTGCCCATGGCAGCTGTCACTTTTCGGGGATAGCGGTCAATTCCGGCCACCAGAGCATGGCTGTAGGGACGGTCTGAGGTGCCATCATCAATGTTCTGAAGGAGCAAGAGTCAAATGTTATTGACCGAGGGCCTATTTAGGCCCTGTGCTAGATGTGAGGCATGTATGAAAGGAACATCTCCACTCCCAGAGTCTGGGCCTCACGATGGGAAAAACCCCCCAAGGCTAGTCCTAGACCTTCTAGCATTCTGAGTGCTGTGCTAACAGAGGGTCGTGTTCACTCCCACAAGAATCTGGAAAGGCTCCTGGGAGGTAAAAGATTTAAAAGGAGCAAATATTAACATTAATGGAGTGCTTGCTTTGTATCGAGCACTGGTTCTTAGGACTTTACATCTCAACTCCACCTACCATTGCACTGCTAGTAAGGACGAGAAGCAGGACCCCAAAACTGGTGGCCTAACTCCAGAAACCAGTCTCAAAGAGATGGGGGAAGGCAAACCCACGGGTGCGCCGTCCCCCCTCCGTGGCCCCACAACAGCCCAAAGCAGGTGTACCTTGCCAGGGCTTAGGGGAGCTCTCATAAGAGGCTACAAGATGTAGACAGAAGGCCAATGTCAAAAGGCCAGAATACGCCAAGTGATCACTTTGACTAAAAACACTTTCTCCTCCTTTTACAGAATCCCAGCCGCAGCACCTTATTTTATTTATTTATTATGAGAGACACAGAGGGAGAGAGGCAGAGACACAGGCAAAGGGGGGAAGCAGGCTCCCTGCAGGGAGGCCAATGTGGGACTGGATCATGAGACTCCAGGGTCAGGCCCTGAGCCTCCCAGGCGTCCCGCACCTGATGGTTTTTATCTCAGTAGACTCCCCTACGGGTTACGTCAGGACTGAACGTGACAACACCTGTAAAGCGGTGTCAGACACAATGGAAGCGCTCGATACACGCTGGCCACGATTATTTTTTAAACTCTCCCTGGTAGAGGCCGCGTTATGGGTTAGGCGCCCGATTCCATTCACATTTGTTTTTACCTTGCACCTTCCTCTCTCAAGAGTCCGCTCGCATTCGCCCTCTCCCGCCCGCAATGCTCGGGGACTAATGCCCCAAGCTAGGTCCTGGATTCCAAGCTCGCAGGCCCTCCCTAAGTAGCCCCATCACGAGATGCAGGCGCGCAGCAGAGGCTCGGGGGGCTGCTACCTTCACGATGACCGCTTTGCGTCCGGAGTAGCGTCCGGCCAGGACCAGCACCACCTTCCCGGGTTTCATGAACTTGCCCATCTCTGCAGAGGAAGGAGAAGGGTCCGATCTGAAACCCGCAAGCCGAGACTGCGGGCCCGGAAACTACGACGGCGTCCCTATCGTCTCGGCCCCAGCCGCCCGCCGGCCCTGCTCACAGGACAGGACCGCTACGA